TAGCGCTCTACCACTTGAGCCACAGTGCCACTTCCAGCTTTTTTCTTTTTGCTTATGTGGTGCTGAGGAATCGAACCCAGGGCCTCATGAATGCAAGGCAAGCACTCTACCACTGAGCCACCTTTCCGGCCCCTTGATGTTGGTTTTTGTTTGTATTGTTTCTTGAGACAGGGTCTTTATAGCCATAGGGGTCTTTAACCCACTCTATAGCTCAGGGTGACTTTGAACACTTGTTCCTCCTGCCTCAGCCTCCCAAGTGCTGAGTTTATGTGGGAAGTAGCAGAGGGAACTCAGCTTACATGCAGAAGGAAATAGTATAAACATAGAAACATCACACAAAGGTGATTCCTGTTTGAACACTGTTTGTAGAGAATAGGAATTGCCTAGAGATTGTGAGGCAGCTCAAGCCAAATACAGGAGTCAGTGACTGCCCAGGAAGGGTCCCTGGCTCCTGACCTAAGAGACTGCCAGGAAGGGTCCCTGGCTCCTGACCTAAGAGACTGCCAGGGAGAGGTCCCTGGCTTCTGACCTGAGAGGTTAAGAAATGCTGACTCTGAATTGACTGGATAAACTGCAGGATCCCTTGGGCAAAAAATGCTCAGAAATAGTGCCCAGGTCTTGAGTTCAAGTTCCAGGATGTGCATAAACAAATGCAGAATGCCCAGGAGTAGACATACAGAGAAGTTTCCCTCAGGAATACACGTGTGGTTGTTCTAGAGGTGTGTTCCATTGAGGGTATTGTTCCCAGGTGAGGCTGACTTTATTGCTTCCATGCTTTCTAGGCAGTGAGACCCTGGCTTCACAGCAAGAACTCACCACGGATCACTCGGACTCTATGGTGAGGGCATGAGTGTGAATGCATGGGGCCCTGTGACCCAGGGATCTGTAGAGCTAAGATCTCTACCTGTGCTCAGCAAACCCCAGAAGCTTTGCTTTTCCATGAACAAGGGAATGTGTACTTAACAGCATATTTTAGATGAAGGGTAGCTGTGAACTTAATGTAAGTAGGTCTTACCTGAAAGTGCACTTCTTTACAACACGTACAGGGAGGGGGCAGGGATGTGGCCCAGGGGGAAAGGACTTACTGTGCATGCATGATGTCCTGGGTTCATTTCCCAGCACTGTTGTCAGAAACATGATAGGGCAAACTTGTACGGAGAGCTTCCTATTTTCTCCATTCTTCACTTTTTAAATTTCTCCCCTACTCCTGCTGAGAACGGTATGATGCATTTCTCCAGCCTGTTACATTTGAACTCACAGCTTTCTGTTGTTTGCTTTTTTAAAGAAGGAAGGTAATGCATATAGGCTTACTGTCTTTGAAATTTGTCTGACCTCTTCCCCTGAGAGATCACTTGTCATCTTCAACTCAGAATGGATCCTTCCTCAGCTCTTATAAGCAGTTAGTTATAGTTCATGGACTTAGTATCTCAAGACCCGTGGGAAGAAACCAATTCTTGAGTCTGGTTACTTCAGATGGTTCAGATAAATACTGGAGTAGTGCAGAGGACATAGAGGATGTCTTTGCTCTACGTTAGATGTAGAAGTAGAAGTCTGTAGTACTTAGCAATTATTCCTAAAAAGGACCTTCAAGGGGCCTCAATGAAGAGTCCACAGTAAGTGATGAATGAGTGGAAGGACATTAGCCATCGCCTAATCCAGCTCTCCTTTTATTTGAAGATTTATCACATTTGCTTTCCTCTTAGTTGCTATTAGAAACGCTGCAAGATGAGCTGAAGCTTTTTAATGAAACTGCCAGGAAGCAGATGGAGGAGTTACAGGTGAGGGGCCAATGGTATCTTAAGGCAGTACTATTGTGTTCTACCACTTTGGAAGACTGATGGAGAAGTACTTCCCTCTCTTATCCCTGTATTTGTTTTTGAGACAGGGTCTTGCTAAGTAGCCCAGGCTAGCCTCAAACTTAGTATTTTCCTGCCTCAGCCTCTTAATCCCTCTTGGGATTACAAATGTGTGCCATTATGATTGGCTTTTTGATTTTTGTTTTTTGTTTTTTCTGGTCCTGGGGCTTGAACTCTGTGCTTGGGCAATACTCATAGCTTTTGTGCTCTAAGCTAGTGCTCTAGCACTGGAGCCACAGCTCTACCTCTAGCTGTTTGCGGTTTAATTGGAGAGAAGAATCTCACAGACTTTTCTTTCTTTTTTTTTTTTTTTTTTTTTTGGGGTCCGGTCGTGGGGCCTGAACTCTGGGCCTGAGCACTGTCCCTCAGCTCTTCAGCTCAAGCCTAGTGCTCTACCACTTGAGCCACAGCGCCACTTCCGGCTTTTTTCTTTTTGCTTATGTGGTGCTGAGGAGTCGAACTCAGGGCCTTAGGCATGCAAGGCAAGCACTCTACCTACCACTGAGCCACCTTCCCAGCCCCGAGTCTCACAGACTTTTCTGCCTAGACTGACTTCGAATTGGGATCATCAGATCTCAGCCTCCTGAGTAGCTAGAATTACAGGAATGAGCCACTAGTGCCCAGCTACTTGGCTTTTTTTTTTTTCCCCTTTGGTACCAGTCCTGGGGCTTGAAATCAGAGCCTGAGCACTGTTCCTAAGCTTTTTTTATTCAAAGCTAGTGCTGTACCACTTGAGCCATAGATCTTCTTCCATCTTTTTTCTGGTTAGTTGGATATCAGAGTCTCACAGATTTTTCTGGCCAGGCTTGCTTCAAACTGCAATCCTCAGATCTCAGACTCCTGAGTAGTCAAGATTACAGGCCTGCCGGGTGCCGATGACTCACACCTCTCACACCTGTAATCCTAGCTACTAAGGAGGCTGAGATCTGAGGATCATGGTTCAAAGCTAGCCCAGGCAGGAAAGACCATGAGACTCTTATCTCCAATAAGCCACTAGAAAACTGGAAGTGGAGCTGTGGCTCAAATGGTGGAGTGCTCACCTTGAGCTGAAGAGCTGAGGGACAGCCCCCAGTCCCAGAGTTCAAGCCCCATAACTGACAAAAAAGATTATAGGCCTGAGCCACCAGATGCCCAGCACTTGTCTATTTTTAATAAACTCTTTTGAATTAATTTTAGATTTACAGAAAAGTTGTAAAAATAATACAAAAAATTGAATTTTTTAATAGAAACATTTTATAGTTGTCATATACCCCAACATTGGTGTATGTATTGTTAACTGAATTCCAAGCCTATTTTTTATTTAACCAGATTTTTCCCAATAATTTTTTTTTTCTTTTTCTGTTCCTGAACACAGAAGAGCTTGCATCTGGGTCTGGGGCTGTAGCTCAGAAATGTGCACATGTCTAGGGAATGTGTCAGTGGACACTGACAGAATGAGATTGTGCAAAAGCCCTGCCGTGGGAGCTTGTCATCTCAAGGACGAGGCCTGCACTGCAAACGTCAGCATGCTTTTTCCTTTTTCTTTTTTCTTTCTTTCTGTTTTTTTTTGGTCAGTTATGGGGCTTGAACTCTGGGCCTGGGTGCTGCAGCTCAGCTCTTCAGCTCATGGCAAATGCTTAGCTCAAGGCTAGCTCTCTACCACTTGAGCCACAGAAATAAGAGTCTTAGGGACTTTCCTGCCTGGGCTGGCTTTGAACTGCGATCCTCAGCTCTCAGCTTCCTGAGTAGCTAGGATTACAGGCGTGAGCAACTGTTGCCCAGCCAGGATTTTTAATTCTGGCTGCTTCCACTTGTTGGATGAGACGTAGAGGATATCAAAAGATAGAAAATACAGTGTCTGTTGGTTTTCTACTGGTCTTCTTCAAGGGAATAGAAGCCTGGGGTTCCAGTGTGGGCATTGTCTCGTGACTCAAGAGTTTTGGACTGGGATGGAAATGGTGCTGTGGCTCAAGTGGTAGAGCACTAGCCTTGAGCTGAAGAACTGAAGGACAGCGCCCAGGCCCAGAGTTCAAGCCCTATGACCAACAAAAAAAAAAAAAAGAGTTTGGGCTGGGAATGTAGCTTGCCTACCATGGGTGAAGCCCTGGGTTCAATTCCTTAGTACCACATAAAAAGCTGGAAGTAGCACTGTGGCTCAAGTAGTAGAGTGCTAGCCTTGAGCTTCTTTTGCTCAGTGACAGCGCACAGGCCCCAAGTTAAAGCCCCAGGACTGGCCACCCCTCACACCCCCTCTCCCCACCACAAAAAAAAAAAAAAGTAAAAGTTTTGTGTGATTTTTTTTTTTCTTTTATAATGCTTTGCTTTGCAGGCCTTAAAGGTAAAGTTGAAGATGAAAGAAGAAGAAAGGATCCGATTCCTGGAACAGCAAACTCTGTGTAATGATCAAGCCAGTGACGTTTCAGTAGCCTTGGAGGAAATGGAGCAGCTATTAGAAATGTAATAAAAGGCACTGGCCAGGTGGCTCCCACTTGGGGTAAACTCAGAGGAAGCCATGTAGGATATCTTCTTGGCCATAATCTTGAACTCTCCATCCCCAGTTGACAACTGTTTCTACAGTAGGATTCAGGGCAGTTTATACTGAATGGGAGTTCCTCTTCTAAGCCATTTTCCCTAGCTTCAGATTGGTCAGTTCTGAGCTTCACTTGTAGATAATGGAGGCCTACACAAGGGTCCTGGAGGCTTGACTCCACCTCCTAGGCCATAAAACAGCCCACCATTAGAATCAGGAGACTTAATCAGCTACCGTCGAAGAATCTAGGAAGTCACAGGCAGATTTGCAGAAAGCAACCCTTAATTACAGTGGAGCAGAGGTGCACACAGGAGACATCATTGAGTCATGGACAGAATAGTACTTCATTGCCAATTTATGAAACTGGACTTGCAAATAATACATCTTGGAGCTTTTCATCCAAATGACATCTGTCTGTCTGTTTTTAAGTATTACTTTTGAAATAAATATTTTAAATATTCTGACTGTAACACTGAGGAATGAAAATAGACTTCTAAAGCTGGTGCTAGTGGCTCTTACCTATAATCCTACCTTACTCAGGAGGCTGAGATCTGGAGGAACACCGTTAGAAGCCAGCTCAGGCAGAAAAGTCTGTATGAGTACATCTCCGGTTAGCTAACAAAATGTCAGGCTGGAGGCATGGCTCAGGCCTTGTTATGAGCAAGACACCTGAGCCAGAGCACAAGGCCTTGAGTTAGCCCTACACTGGTACAAAAAAAAGATACAGGGCTGGGAAGGTAGCTCAGTGGTAGAGTGCTTGCCTTGCATGCATGAGGCCCTGGGTTCCATTCCTCAGTACCATATAAGCAGAAAAGGCTGGAAGTGGTGCTGTGGCTCAAGTGGTAGAGTGCTTGCCTTGAACTGAAGGCTGAAGAGCTGAGTGACAGTGTCCAGGCCCAGAGTTCAGGCCCCACGACTGACAAAAAAAAAAAAAAAGGAGAAATAACCTTTTAACCTAAATATCTCATCTGAACATTATATTAAACTCAGGATATTCTCACTGATCTAGAATATTTTTCCTCCACTCTTCAGTACCTGTCAGTATCACCCCACCCACATCCCTCTACCCCATTTGTAGCAGTGAATGCTAGGTTCCATCCACCACATCTCCCTGTGTGCTCTTTGCCTGGCACACCCAGAACTGGGCCTAATGCCATACATCCCATAGTCCACCTCCTGAAGTCTATACAGCACCTTCCCCTTAGGTTTACCCAAGACAGCCATATTTTCTTCTGTAGTGCTTGTAGGTGGGCCTTTGTTTCAGTCATTTCCCTAGTTGCTCTTCCCGCTTTCTTCACCACACCTTCCCTTTCTACCATCGGTATCTTCAAGGTTTTCCAGAGACCCCACTGTAGCTTAAAGCAATAATAATTGTTTACCCTTGGAGAGTTATATCGGGAATATTTTGTACATAGAGAAGGGCTAATTTTGTTCCTTGTGCACATTTTTAGGATTGTCTCATTTAAAAGATGGTTGGTTGGGGCTGGGAAGGTGGCTCAGTGGTAGAGCGCTTGCCTTGCATGCCTGAGGCCCTGGGTTCGATTCTTCAGCACCACATAAGAAAAAAGCTGGAAGTGGCACTGTGGCTCAAGTGGTAGAGCACTAGCCTTGAGCTGAAGAGCTGAGGGACAGCGCCCAGGCCCAGAGTTCAGGCCCCACAACCGGACCTAAAAAAAAAAAAAAAAAAAGATTGTTGGTTTTCTTTGTTGTTGGTGTTTCATTTTGTTAGGTGCGGGGCTTGAACTCAGGGCCTGGGCACTGTTCCTGAGCTTTTTCGCTCAAAGCTAGTAAGTACTCTACCACTTCGAGCCACAGCTCCTCTTCCAGTTTTCTGGTGGTTAACTGGAGATAAGAGTCTCACAAACTTTCCTGCCTAGGCTGGCTTCGAACCATTCACCTCAGACCTCAGCCTCTGAATAGCTAGGATTACAGGTGTGAGCCACTGGCACCTGGCTTAAAAGATTGTTTTCTCAAGTAAATTTGTAATTGACATTTTTGGCAAAGAACAAAAGCAATGCTTCCTTGGAAGAAGATATGGACCCTCACGGTCCACTCTTGCAGTCAGCCCTCCCTAATTTCCACCTAGGTGTATAGGAGGCCTCTCCTCCCTCTGCTGTCAGCTTGTGTCTCTCAGTTCTTACCCAAAGAGTTCTTTCTCAATGAAACCCCATGTCCTCAGCCCTCAGTTCTTCCACTTTGGCGTCTGACCCTGGTGAACTCACACCTAGAACCAGATCACCCACCTGCAGGCTTTGACCTGGTTAACTCAGGTACATGTGTTGGCAGAGCCCTGGCAGTGGCACCCTGTCCCCTACCCCTTCAGCTGATAAATGGTGTTACCCAACCTGGAGAACGCAAATGCTTTTTGCCTCAATACTAGTCAGCCCTTTCCCCTTTCCTCCATAGATAGAAGATGCCACAAACCTCTGTGATACTTAGTAAAAGCCTACCATTTTCCTAAGTACTGAGGCCTCGGCCCCCAAGTGCACCCAGCCTTTCTCCATGGTCATAGACCCGGCCTGACCTGCTCAGCTAACAATTGTGTTTTGCCTACTAGGGCCTATACATTACCATCTGTATGCTTTCTCTTTGTGAAAAACTCAGTTTAAAACGCTCGAGTTCTTTACATGTGTGTGTGGTGCTGTTCTTTACGTGTGTGTGTGTGTGTGTGTGGTGCTGGTACCCTTGAACTTGGGTTGTGCATTGTCCCTTAGCTTTTCTCTCAAGTCTGGCTCTACTAGACCCATACCTCTACTTCTGGTTTTTAATAGTTAACTGAAAGTAAGTTTCACAGATCTTTTGGTCCAAAATGAAAATACATCAGGAGAGAAAACTGGTGCAGAAGATAAAGACTCTCTCTCTACTTGCCGTATCCACCACTGCGTTAGTACAAGTGCACTCGGCACATTTTGTTAATGAGTTAAATAAGAATGTTTCTCTAGCATTGACAGAGCAGCAAATTATTGATCAAAAAATAGAAAGCAAACTAGAGGCTTTGGAGGAAGTAGTCTTAAAGTTAGGGACTGAAGTCAATAATCCTAAAACCCAGCTGACAACTAGATGTCATCAGTCATTTTAATATATTTGTGTCACCCCATTGCCTTATAATGAGAGCTTAGATTGGGAAGCTACCAAAGTGCATTTACAAGGAATCTGAAAGGACAATAGCTTAACTCATAACATAGGACAGCTACAGCAAGACATCTCAGCCCTTAGTCAAGCTCATTTGGAAACCACAGGGATAAATTCTTTGGCAGAAGACTTAGAGAAAGGATTAAAAAGTCTTAATCCTTTAGGTTGGTGGCACTATTTGGTTACATGTGGAGTCATAACACTAATTGTTATATGTGTTCTTGTTGTCTTTCCAGTCCTCTTCAAACTAGTCTTCCTCTCCATCTCCTCTATACGAGAAGAAATTTCTCTGGCACATCTAATATATAAAAAAGGGGCAAATGCCACGCCTACTCCAGTGGAGTCTGCTTAGCATGGGAAACCAGCTTTCAGACCAGAGAATGGGGCTTCACAGAAGCCTATCTCTGAGAATGGGACTTCACTGAAGTCTTCCTCAGAGAATGGGGCTTCACAGAGGCCTACCTCCTGGAAAGGCTGGCAAGCCCCTGGGAAAGATGTTTCTGTTCTTGCTTTTCTTTTCTTCACTGTATAAGAGTGCCTATTAATCTTTTACTGTTTCTGCTGCTCATTGTACTTACTCATGCTCAACGTTCCCTTATTCAAAGCTCTTTCTTAAGAGTGTTGACGACTCCAATATCTGATGAGTGTCTTTTTTTTTTTTTTGGGTCCGGTCGTGGGGCCTGAACTCTGGGCCTGGGCGCTGTCCCTCAGCTCTTCAGCTCAAGGCTAGCGCTCTACCACTTGAGCCACAGCGCCACTTCTGGCTGTTTTCTTTTTGCTTATGTGGTGCTGAGGAATCGAACCCAGGGCCTCAGGCATGCAAGGCAAGCACCTTAACCACTGAGCCACCATCCCAGCCCTGATGAGTGTCTTAAAAATATGACTAACTCACCAGAGTTAAGTGCTACCCTGAAAGCCCCTCTTATGGAGGCTAGTAGACAAGTCATAAGCAAATATAAAAGTATTGGGGGTCTCACAATGTCACTTCAGTAGAAGGAATTGACCTCTACTTCTGGGTTTTTACTAGTTAACTGAAAGTAAGTTTCACAGATCTTTTGGTCCAAGCTGGCTTTGAACCATTCAGATCTCAGCCTTCTGGGTAACTAGAATTATAGGCATGAACCACCAACATCTGGCCTACATCTATTTTAAAAAGAGAAGCAAGGGGCTGGGAAGGTGGCTCAGTGGTAGAGCGCTTGCCTTGCATGCCTGAGGCCCTGGATTTGATTCCTCAGCACTGCATAAGCAAAAAGAAAAAAGCCGGAAGTGGCACTGTGGCTCAAGTGGTAGAGCCCTAGCCTTGAGCTGAAGAGCTGAGGGACAGTGCCCAGGCCCAGAGTTCAAGCCCTACAACCAATGAAAAAAAAAAAAAAAGCAAAAAGAGCCCGGAATTATCTCTTTTATGTGGGCCCAGTGACAGAGCATGTGTTTAACATGCACAGGGCCCTGGCTTTAAACCATATACCTCAAAAGACAAAACTATCTTTGTTCTTTTAGATACTACTTAACCTATATTCATGGCCACATTTCTCAAGGAGAGTGTTTACTCTTTCTCTCTCTCCCAATTTACCTTCAAAATATACAAGTGAGAAACTGATATGAAATAGCTAAATTAGGCAAATTTAGAACACACAAAAGTTTTCTAAGACACAGGAAAGAGTAGAGTTGCTGCCACCAGGTCTATGATTGGAGTGATAGATGAGCTCTGGAAATGGATAATGGTGATGGTAGCATAGCATTGTGAGTATAATCAGCATAACTGAATTGTGCACTTAAAAAAGGTTTGGGGGCTAGGTACCAGTGGCTCATGCCTGTAATCCTAGCTACTCAGAAGGCTAAAATCTGAGGATTGTGGTTCAAAGCCAGCTCAAGCAGGAACGTCTGTGAGACTTATCTACAATTAACCACCAGAAAACCAGAAGTGGGGGCTGGGAAGGTGGCTCAGTGGTAGAGCACTTTGCCTTGCATGTCTGAGGCCCTGGGTTCGATTCCTTAGCACCACATAAGCAAAAAGAAAAAAGCCAGAAGTGGTGCTGTGGCTCAAGTGGTAGAGTGCCAGCCATTAGTAAGAAAGCTAAGTTAATGTACAAGCCCTGAGTTTACAACCTGTTAGGTTTTTAAAAAGAAGTTGCTGAGTAAGAACCATACCACGCAGGGTGGTGGTCAGCTAAGGGGTAGGTTTATTCATCATTCTGGCTGGCACCAGGCCATGTTGACCCTCCATGCGGCTGGGAAAAGACCAGGAAAAGAGCGTCTGGGCCTGGGTTAGGCCTTATCTAGGGTAGGGGTAGGGAAGAGTGTAGCCACATGGAATTCAGATGTGACCTCAGCGGATGCA